AAAAGCCTCGCGTGTTGGAACAGTACTGTAGTTGCTTTTAAAACACCAAACTCAACTTAGTCTGCATGTATCATATTAGAAATGTCACACATTCCTTTTTTAACACTGTATTGCAGTGTCTACATCCTTTTTCAAGATGTTAATAAACTGTTTTATATGAATTTACTGTTTGATGGTTACTTCTCCAACCCTCATTCTGTATGCTGCCTCCTCCCTGCCCCTCCCATTCCCTTGTCGTCCATCTGCATATCACTTTACATCACTGTCTGCCATTCAAACTCTCCTCATTATTCCACACCCTTCCCCCCCACCCCTCTTCCATCTTTCCATTTGCAATCCAGTACCTTGTCCTCTGCATGCTCTCTGTCATCATAGCTCACTGCAATATGTAGTCAGTTACTTCAAAAACACCCAAAGACAATTCATATTTTCTAAACTCCGCTTTGACAGACCTTTGGCAAAGACGGGATGGAAACAGGGAGTGGAAAGGAAACCGAGTGAGTGAAAGAGAGAGGGTGGTCATGAGAAAATTATTTCATGGCATCAGGAGAGGTTATTTTTTATATGATATGCGCCCCTTTCCAGCTGTACCGACTTACAGAATGAGCTCAATAAAAAGTCCCCCACCCTTTTTGCTCTGGCTTTGCACCCAGGTACAAAGTGTTTAGTAGCTTCCTCTTACACTGTGCAGAGAGATTTCCAGCTGTTCCCTTTCAAAACTAACTTTTCAACATAGTGGATGCAAACAAACAGACTTAAAATGTGAAGGGAAAGCCCCATTAGAAGAAAATGATAGATTTAACAGCGTTCAGAGTCCCTAAAGTCTGTCTTTGACTCAACTGCATGCTTCAGTCTGAGGCTTCAGACCTTCACCTTGCTGTGAAAAATGGACCTTCGGGGTCTCTCGGGCACTTCCTGAGGAGAGTACTGCTACGGTTCACAAGCTGTGATGGTTTTTCCAGGTTTTCAAACAGTGTGCAGACAAGCGCCCCTCTGAAGTGCTTCCCAGTTTATACACACAGTGCTGAACAAGCAGAGGGAGCACTGGGCCTCCTCCAGGATAAATGTTCTCAATGACCTCTGTGGGTAAATGTGTGTGTTTGCATCGGCAGTGGAGGAAGTACTCAAGTAAAAGCAGCAATAGCACAATATAAAATTATTATACTGTATATTTAGTTTGTTAACACTAGTGCGTGATGCATAAGCAGCATTGTGGAGCTAGTTTTAACTACTTTACATACAGTAGAGTAATTTAGTTCACTGGTTACCAACCTAGGAGTCACAAAGGATCACATGATAAATCTGATGGGTTGTGAGATAATTAATGGGGCAGGAAAAAAGAAAAAAAGACTTCTGCCACTTATACTGATTGAATATTTTGGACCTTTCTCTAATATTTGCTATTTTATGCATTAACGGCTCATTTGAGATGATGAAAATGTCTCTTTGGTGGAACTGCAAACAACTCATTGACATCTAAATCGAGCAAGTAGATGCTGCAAGCAAAAAAGATAAGAAATCACTGCTATTTATGTACTCATCATATTTCTTTTATTTAAAATCTTGGCTGGAAAAATCTAGTGCAGTAAAAAGTGTATTTGTACCTCAATTTTACTTAAGTACAGTTTTGGTAGATGTGCTAAGTTTCATTCTACCATTAATCTGCATAAAGTTTGTGTCTGTGTGAAAAAAGAAGAATGAAAATATAATTTGTGACCAAATATGCATGGCTTACACAACGTCTCTCATTATTTGCGTGCCTTTATGTCTCACAGAGACTGAATGGCCTCAATGAAACCCATGTTATTGTGTAAGCGCTCATCAAAACCACAGCACTTTAACTGCACTCTGGGGGGGCGGGGGGGATGGAAAGTTCCCCGCTTTTTGCTCAATAAGAAAATTGGCATCACACACACACACACACACACACACACACACACACACACACACACACACTGGATGCCTGATTCTGTCTAAAAGACCCCCTTTGACTTATAGTTGTTAGCCTTGTAGGAGCAGTCTAAACCATCCTGTCCCTCCTTGTTAGCCGGGTCACTTTCCACACACAACTGTTATGCCAGTTCATTCCTCAGGCAGTGATGTAATGGAGCATTGCATTGCTCGATTGGCTGAAGGAATGCTGTGGTTTTAGGACCGGGAAGCACCCAAGTCCAGGCTTTGAATCGAGGCCATCTGGACCAATCGTGACAGGGCATTTAGAGGAAATGATGAGCCACAGGAGTCAGCTTACAAACACAGATGCTAGAGAATGGCGTGAAGACAAACAAAGCAAAAAACCTGTGAGCAGGTTCAGGCAGATAACACAAGTTAAACCTCATCAGTTGGAACAGTTAAATAAACTTCCATCAGTACTTTTGTAGTCTATTTAGGCCACATCCTTTTCCACCCCAGCATCTACGTGTGAGCTCTGTTTCTTTATGGTTCTCCATAAAAAATTCAATTCATCTCAGTGGTTTCATATTTCTGTGGAAGTGTAATTTATAGATCTGACACACTCTGACCTCCAATTACCAATCAGGCCTGTATTATGGACATAAACTAAGGCCTTTTTCTTTTCATCATCGATTATAATCTGCTGATTATTTTCTAAATAAATGTATCGTTTTGTTTCTATAATGGGGATTTCTTCAAAATGCTTGTTTTCTCAACAACACATTTTCAAACTTCCCAATTTTTAATTATTATCTTATCAGTGGTTTGTATCACCCTTTTATGACTTGTGACCTCTTAAAAACAAACCTCTGTCATCTATGAACCTCTTGTCACAAGTTGCATGTTGGAGCTCTGAGCAGTTTTTCCTTTTTAGATAGTTTCAGAGGCATGAAACAGTAAATAGTTCAAAAATATAAAGTTAATTTTTTGTAGCATGTAGTTTTCTTCTGTACAGTCAGACATTGTTAAAACCCACAGAGCACTATTTTAAATTCTAGATGAGAAACCAAAGTTAAGAGAAATACTGAACATGTCTCAAAATTTAGGAGAAATTTGTTTAAAATGAAAATTTCCATTAGATGAAATGGTGCAGCCATAAAAACATGAAGCTCTGGGCTTGAATAAAGAACATATATGTGAAATAATTTGTCCAAAGGTAAAGCTACTTAAAGGCTGAATTAAATAACTCTGATGCTAAGCTGTTATCATGAGTTTCCTGACTCTACTACCACTAATAAACACACACATATTATATTTACACCCAAACCCAATTTACAGATAGGTTATTGTTCATTAATGTGTCTATTTGTGCATAAATAGACTGGTCACATGTGTGAAGACCTATTCAGTAACAAGGAATGTACAGTAGTACTGTACATTTGTGTGTGTGTGTGTGTGTGTGTGTGTGTGTGTGTGTGTGTGTGTGTGTGTGTGTGTGAACAGAACAGCCTATGTGTTTGTAATGAAATCATATGACTGCCCTCACCCATGTGACCCCATGTGACTTGTAGGAGAAGAGGATGAAAACAGGCCAGGCTACAATGTAGGAGGGCATTAAGCCATGAAGCGTGTGTAAACTAAAGACGTAATCATTCCTGCTCAGTCTGTGAATGCAGGCTTGAGAAGTACAAAGAAAAAACCTTTCAGCAATCGACCTTCATACGAGCTAGCACCTTATCACTGTGTGCCCAAATATTCACTCACATCTAATAGCTCTTGTGGATAAAGCAGTTACATAAAGTAACATATTTGGAGCAACAATGATTCAATTATAGGATTATTTTTGAGTGCATGTTGTATGTGTATCTAATGTAATTAAAATATGATAAAACCTAATAAATGTTTATTTTCTTGTTACCTGAGTTGCTGCACCTGCCTGAGGTTCAAGTCCCTCATTCCTCCTGAGAATCACATTAGTCAGCTGAAAGACCAGAGAGGTTGGGGGGCAATTTAGTCCTTCAAGGTGCAAGGGTGACATCTACTGGAAGAAGAGCATAACATTAAAATGAAAGGCTACATAAACACCAGGAAAAGACTGAGATAAAACAGACACACTGTATGTCTGCAGCTTAAGTGTAGCTTGGTTTAAAAAGGAAAACTCTCTAGAGGAATAATGAGGTCTACCTGGATTAACCTCAACGGTCTGGGCCTAATCGAAACATGTTTTGGCTAAATTTGCATCCAGACATATGATTGGCTGAGATACAGAGGACAGTTAAATGCCTAACCCTATTCTAATAATAACAACCCTAGTACTATTGTACAACAGGTGTCATTCCCAAAGGTGTGATAACACTGAGCCACATCTTCTTCATTGTACTTTACCTTTGAATGACACCATAGTAGGAGAGGTATGTCTTTTTTTTATGTAATCCCACAAACTGGAACAGTAGAATCACGTCCCACTTTCAGAGAGACATTGTACCATTTCAGTCCATTACTGTGGAAGGTGGGAACATTTTTAGTCCTTGGCCTTAATATTACAAAGAAGCTTAGAGTTGTCTGTTTTAAAGTACGCCATCAATGCTATCCAAAAAAAAATATTATTTGGAAAAAATAAGGATACCTATCCATCTACCCCCCTCCTTCTCTCCTTTTTATTGCTCCACCTGTTTTCTTTTTGTTTTTTATGCTGTACTGTTGTTATAGTGATTGTTTTTATACTGATATTGCCTTTGCTGTTTCTGCTTTCTGTCTTTTGTTACCATATAAAGCATATAAAGCGTTATATAAAATAAATTAATAATAATCACAATAGTAATAATAGTAATAATAAAAGGTTTTTATTATGTCTGTTATTGTTTTGGGATTTTTTAAAATCTAATATCCAATATGTTTATTGTGATAACGTTTTTTTTTACTTAATATACTTATTAATTTATTTTTTTAACCTTTTTAAAAACACGTTTATTGTGATAACCTATTTTTACTTTATATATGAAATGAATTAATTAATTTTTAAACCATTTTAAAAACATTATTTTTACAGACGCACGTTCAGCCCCGCCCCCTTCGCGCTCCCACGTGCTCCTCTGCCGCAGCAGTGGTCACATGACCGAGTCTTCGGCTGGATGACTTCCTGTTCCGCGGTTGTTCTCCCTGCGGTATAAAAAAAAAAAAAAAAATAACGGGTCCGCTCTGCTCTCTCTAACCCAGACCCTGCCACTCGGGGACCGGAGGGGGAATACAACCATCAACCGAACACCGAGTCGTGTTCACCTGCTATCCGAACCGCGGAGAGATGAGCACCGGAGGAGGGGCGGGTAGATAGTGGACCGGATAAACCGACCGCACCGGCGGCTCTTTCGATATAGAAAACACAAACTAACGCACTAACGTTTTTTTTTTTTGTTAACCTGCCAGAAAAGGGCCGACTGACGCTGTTTGCTCCCCTTCCCCGACTGACGTTAAGTTTAGCATCAAGTGGTGGCTACTTGACGTTAGCTCTCTCTCCCCCCTTCCCTCCCTCCTACCTCTCCTTATCATCATCCCCTTCCAACAACAAAAAAAACTAAAACAACAGAGCCATCGATATGTCAAAATACACCAGCTTTCCAGAGCCGATGGAAGACCAAAACCCTTTCCAGGTTGGTGAAATAAGGCCTGTTTTATTGTGAGTGTGTGCAGAGTGAAGATAAAGCTGTCTGCTGGATGTAAATCTGTGTAACAGCAGGCGTGTTGTTGCTCATGTGACGATGTGTGCCTTTTTTCTGGGCCTTCCTCCCTTCCCTAATCTTTACCAACTTGTAGCTCTTATTAACAGTGATTACATTGACTTAAAAGAAAAAAGATTTTGGTAAATATGGATTGGATGTTTCCAGCAGGTCAAACGTTATGTATGATTTTTAAATGAGCCTTTTGATGTGTCTGCTAGGACCCTGCAGTGACTCAACACAGCAGCAACACAGGATATGCCACACTGGACCTGTACAACCCATTTGATAATACGACTGGGGTGAGCAATATTCCCTTCCTTATCTGTGAGATAATACTGGGAGAATTGTTGATAATGTGCGCTACTGTGCAGATAAAAAAAAAAACCACAACAGTATCCTTTATTCCTTTATTTTGCCATGGACAGAGAAGATGTGCTGCTTTACCCCCATTAACCACCCATTCCCCCTCCACTTGTCTGTGTGTTTTCTCTCTAACTGAAGTAACACCGAGCTCCTGCGTTGCTGTGAGGTCATTTGTATTAATTCATTCTGAATTATGCAACTTGTAAGCATGAGGCTGCAGAAATGTAGCCCCGATAATGAGACTGTATTGCCACTTAGTTGAATGTTTAATCCAATAGTCGTTGTGTTTACAGTCTCGATCAGCACTGCTCCCAGAGATGGCTGCAAGCGACGGGAGGTTATCTGTTGTAAACTAGTAAATAAACGAATAAAGGCATGTTTTTGGCACGTTCAGTTGTTTTTCAAATACAGAAACTGGCAGCATTTAACTTGCCGCAGAGCTTTAGTAGCCTCATAATCCAAATGAGATGCCATTTTGCTTCATTTGGCTCATTTATCCTGTTTGAATCGATGAACAAATCACAGACGATAGTGGCAATTCATTTGTCTGGAAACCGGGGCCTAGAAAAACCTCTCCACAAAGTCTACAAGGTTAGGAAAATAAAACTGCTCCCACCTTAACAACATTAGTCCATCAGCTGATGTTGTGCTCTATCAAATATATATCCGTGTCCCTATATGTAGACTTGAGTATGAAGACTGGATTGTACATGAATGTGCTTCATTATACGATAAAAGATCAACTGCCATGGAAAGCAGAAAGCAGCCGGAGCTTTAATGTACACATCGCTGTTATAGAGTTTCTTTTGTTGCTAGGAAACCGCTTTGGGTCTAAGTTATGGACCGTGTTATTGGAGTTCTGTTGCTAGGAAACAGCGTGGGTCCACGTGTACTTCCTGTCAGTTGCTGATATTGGCAAATACTGCAGCTACAGGGAACTGAACTGGGACTCGTTTGGGATGTTTGAAACTGAAACTAGTCCCTCGAGCGTCATGCTCACTCCTACAGTTATTTACAGATGATTGTGTCTGTGTTTGATATAACGCAGACTCACTCTGGTACGGGCACTGTCCTTTTTAAATCAACAGTTTTCACCATTGTGTGTTTGTGGGCCGTGACTGAGAAATGACCCGATCATATGAAAGAAAAGTTATGATCTGATGTGCTTCATTCTTTTTGTCCCTCAGATTCTGCTGGTCTGTGATTACTTATAATATTATGTATGCTTCTGGAGAGAAGGAAGTTAATACAAACATCTATAAATGTTATTACATGGGTCTTTTAAAATGGTAACCTTGAAGTATTCTGATTAGAGGTTAAAATAGTTGAATGGATGTTTAATTTAGATGTTAAAGTTTATCTCAAAAGCCTTGAAAAGAAAGATGGATAATTAAAATCTTCTATGTTCTGGTTTCTCCAGTATTGTCAGTAATTTATACATTTTATGGTAGACATGAAACTAAAAAACTGACGGTGAAAATTATTTAAATTGTCGCTTACAGGTTGTTCCACATGAGGTGAAACTGATGTGTTATGTTTTCTGTTCCAGCCTCCACCACCGTATGAAGCCACCTCTCCCTCTGCTCCAGCTGTGCCGGCACAGACTCCGCCCAGCAGGACAACACCTACTGAGCCTCGCAACTATGGCTCCTATACCTCCCAGGTACACGTGCTGCAATGTTAAACACACTTGTTGCTGCACTTTAGACCTGTGGTTCCCAACCTGGGGGTTAGGATGCCCACTAGGGGTCGCCAAAGCTTCACGGAGGGTCACGAGGCCTTCTTGATTTTAAGGGGTGTAAGAATACTTTTTAAAATATAGTAGGCCTATATTAATGTTATTTTTACAAAATGCATTCACAGATCCTTCACTCTCTGACAAACATCAGGGAGAAGAAAACACCTGTTAAGTCTGTATTATTGTTAAGAAAAAATTAAAAATACACAATACACACAGATAATTGTATAAAAAGTTCCTAAAATATCAGGAAAACTCATCTCTGATGCAATGTTTATAGGAAATAATCTACTTAAATGTCATCCAAATTGCTAATTTTACACTCTATTTGGGTTAATTGTACAGTAAGTTGTTCTGTACTGTTATTGTTCTGCATTGATTATAATGTGAAATATCCATAAAACATGTCACTTAGTCCCTTAAAGAACAAAGTTGGGAACCACTTCTTCAGACTAAGGTTCACCATCTGATCTTAATATCCGCACATTCAGTGGCAGTCGGATGCACAGAGATAGGATTGTACTTGCAGTGTTGTTGGACATTGAATATTAGAGATGTCCGTAGAACACAAAGTCTGTCCTTCATCGTGGAAAGTATTTTTATGGATCCTGAAATTCCCCAAATCATCAACAGGACGGATCTCTATTCAGTTTTAGGCAGAAACCAAAAACCAAAACCACATCTAATCTTAACTAACTAACCTAACGCCGATACATAAATTCACATACGTACCCTGAAAGCATCTCATCTGTGAATCCTCTTATGATACCGGGTCTTTTACATAATCCTTATTCATTATTTACGAGGCAAACACAACCTGTCTCTTTGACGTGCAGTTCTGATGCATCATTTACACAGTGTGTCTTACTGTGTTAGACTGCAGTGAACGCTACCACAGCAGAGCTCTTGAGGAAGCAGGAGGAGCTGGAGAAGAAAGCCCGAGAGCTGGAGAGAAGAGAGAGGGAGCTGGAGTCGCACAGCCTCGGACCTGGAGCCTGTAAGAAGAAGAGCGCATGAGCTTAAACATGACAAACATTAAGTGAATACTGTAAAACCTCCAATTTATAGCCTGGGCTCATATTGCCTGTATTTGAGACAGGCCTTTTAATTAATTTTGCGCAAACTTCTTGCTCAACAAAGAGGAGAAATACTATCAAATTGTTTATTGTATATTTACCAGTATGAATATTTCTTGTATAAAAAATGGTGCTATCAAATAACATATCGATTATGAATCATTCATTTGATACTTTGGTGCTCATAGTTTCTGTAATATTAACTGAATGAGTAAATTGTGGAGAATTTTATATTTGTGTAGGCGATCTAAGCAGCTTAGAATCTGCTCAAGTGGGCGACTCGTGGGTTTTTAGAGGTTTATTACATCCAGAGAATCTCTATAAAATCCAGACCAGGCGTTTAATTAAGACCCCGCTTTTAATTTAAGTTTTATGGTAAATAAATACCTAAGATGCCTAAATGTGTTATTGATTTAATGACTTCAAAAGAAATCTCTGTGACTGAAATTTCCCCCTCTTCTCTTCATTAGCTCGTCAGAACAACTGGCCCCCGCTGCCTTCATTCTGCCCCGTGGGCCCCTGCTTCTACCAGGACATCAATGTGGAGATCGCTCAGCACTTCCAGCGCACCGTCACCATCATGTACTACTTCTGGCTGTGTGAGTTCCTGTAACTCTTATTATGTGCCGTTGTGTGAATTCCCGGCATCATTGTTGCAACATAAGGGGGTTTGGGTCGTGTGGTGTCAGAGGACAGTGGGACTTTATAGACGATGAAACTACACTGACTCTAAACTCTCCACCAGTTAAGATTTATTAGTAGAAGTTGGAGAATGACTTCAGTAATTGAACCTTAGGGCTGACTCACGTCCATGTGACTTCTACTGTGCTGTCTGCAGTACGAGCTGGAATGTTTGTACAGAGACTTTCACACTTTACCGTCAAATTGAGGAACCAACTGAAGGTTCAGCTGTCTTCATCCAGGGAAAATAAAGAAGTTGTTCTTATTGACCTACCTCAAAGTTTCAGATCATAATGGCCAAACCCCTGTCAGTATGCATGCTGGAGATAAAGTTAAAGTGGGTCTAAAGTGTGATTTAAATAAAACCACAGAAAAAGGAAGTGAGAGTTCTCTATAACTCACATTATATTTTATTTATACTTCTGATTGCCTAAAGGAGGTGATGATGGACTGGTTACCTTTCATTCTTATGACCTACTTGGATAATTACTAGCCTGTAGAGTAATAGCCTATTAGCTTATATAATTATTATTCTACTATTTTTTTATTATTTTTTTGGCTGAATCATAGCAAATGGTAGCAAATCTTCCAGCGCCTGGCACCGGTCCTAGACCCAGGGGATCTGGAACCTCTGGCTTATAAAACTGTAGAATGCAAATATAATAATATTTGACATATTGTCATGTTTCCTGTCAACATGTGAGCTCTGCTTTATGTTTTAGTTCCTTATTACTGTCTTTGGTTAACTCAGTGGTTTTTATTTTACCTCTGTCTGAACACCTAATATAGTTCCCATTAACTGTCATATATTGACTGCACATAATGTTAAATCCGCTATAAAGCAAAGAGGCCGAGAGGTCAGTCCTTCTCTATGTGTGTAAAGTAGATATAATACTATAAATTATATAAGAACTCAAAACAGTGTTTTTTTTATAATGTTATAAACTTCCTTCTTGACTTCTTTGACCTAAGGCCATCTCTAAACCTGGCAGTACGCAAAGGGGAGTAATATGAAGTGTAATATTGCATCAGCCAAATCCAAGTTGGCTTTTTCTTTAGAGAGGGGAAGGTTGAATTAGTGTTCTAGTCCACACCTGTGTAACAAAGCAACAAAGACTGCAGTGCTCTTCACTCTTATTTAATTGCTCCCATTCATCCTTCTATACTTTGTGTCTCCTTTTTTTTTTTATTGTCCTGTTTTATTAATGTCTAGTCTGCACTGGCACGCTGCTCTTCAACCTGATCTCCTCCCTGGCCATGTTCTGCGTGGACACCACCAATGGTGTTGGGCTGGGCCTCGCCATTCTCTGGGCCCTCCTCTTCACCCCATGCTCTTTTGTCTGCTGGTACCGTCCTGTGTACAAAGCCTTCAGGTGTGTGCCACCATCCCAATTTTAAAAAAGAACACTTACCAAAGATACGCGTCGGCCAAAATGTGTAACTTTTATCCTTTATTTATTGCTTTTTTCCTCTCCTCTAGGAGTGACAGCTCCTTCAATTTCTTTGCCTTCTTCTTCATTTTCTTTGCCCAAGTTATCGTCTACGTCATCATGACTATTGGTATCCCTGGATGGGGTTTCAGGTATGACTAATAAGCAAACCATGTCTGTGATATACAGATGCATGACTCTCTTTGCAGTTCATGTTTAACATGTTAAAACCTGCTTAAAAAACATCTGTATCTGGTTACCTTAAAAGCTCATGCACAGCGACCACAGGCCCACATTTGATGTAACTAATAACATTAATGGTGGCTCTGTTCCACTCAAGTGTCCCAGTTAGTTGTGCCAGTGAGCCAGCATGTGCAATAGCAAAGCCCTGGAAAGTATATTTACTCAACTACTGTACTTAAGTACTGTTTGAGGTGCTTGTATTTGAGTATTTGCATTTTATGCTACATTATACTTCTACTCCACTATACCTCAGAGGCAAATATTGCACTTCTTTACTCCACTACCTTCGTGTGACAGCTTTAGTTACTTTTAAAGTTATGATATGTAATCCCATCCTGCTGTGTTAAAACCATGCACCTCCAAATTTGGCCATTTTGAATTTGAATTTGTCTGTTAAACTAAAGGAAGTGTTTCTTTATAGATTGAGGAAATGTTCCCACTTTTTAAACTAAAAAAACAATTAAAAAAACCTGTTTGGATTAGCTGGAAAATGCATTGATACATTGTTACTTGGTTCTCACAGGACAGCTACAATGATGATGATCTTATAGAATATAGATAAATATAAATTAAGACTATTTTCTTATACTTACATACTTTTACGCAACATTTTGAATGCAGGTCTTTTACCTGTAGTGGAGTATTTTCAGTGTGGTTTTAAGTACCATAATAAGACTTTTTTTTTATTAATTAAGCCTGTGGTTTTTTTCCCCATAGTGACATATCAATGTTTGTAATGAAAAAAAACAGTTTGCAATGAAAGGCAGTGAAACTTTTTCTTGCATCACACACTTTATTTTGTTAACTCTCCTCTGCTTTAAATACGTGTCCTTAATAGAGCAGAATGCTGACGGAACAAATATAATGAGTACATAATTAATACCAGGTGTGAAAGTCATTGTCTGGGTAACAAACAGATTGCTTTTTTTAAGTCCAGGTGCAAATGAGGATATTAATTGCCCCCCCCCTCCTCCTCCTCACCTGTGTGTCTCTGTGTCTCTGTGTCTGTCCCTCAGTGGGTGGATCGTGAGCCTGGCCGCTCTGAAGCACAGTGTCCCCGTCGGTGCGATCATGATGATGAATGCCATCCTCTTTACTGCCCAAGCCGCCATGGGGGTTGTCATGTTGAAGAAGGTGAAAACTGAATAAATTTGTTTACATGCAGGGGAAAAATTCACAGGTAGTGACTGAGATTTAAAGTTGTGTTTTTACAAGGTGTCCCAGTCTGACCCAATTAACAGGATATTCAGAGCAAAAAGACAAAGTGTGACTTGTGTTGTGTTTATTGAGCGGATTCTCATTCTGGTTTCAATCTAATTCAGAATTAATTTTAATGGAACATGAGAAACCTACAAACATGATTATAACAGTATGCATGTTTTTGATCATCTGACTTCAGGCGTGGCCCTTAATAAATAAAAGATCTTAGCCACTCATTTCCGATCAAACAGTTTTGTTTCTGGCTGTTTGAACTTGGCTGCATTGACGACTGTGCAGGATTTGGCTTCTTTGTCAGATCAAAGTCAGACTTTTCTTTTATTTCATTGTGTGATTGTCATGATTTACGGTAACATTTTTAATAATACCAACTAACTACTTTGTAATTGGAGTTGATAACGTACCTTCACACAACCGGCATTAATTATAAAATGTAGTTTACATTTTACATGTACTCAAAGTGCAGCAGTAAAAAGGAACTGAAAGGGAGGAAGCTTTGAGAGAACTCTATGCTTTTGTCGGGCAGATTGCAACATGTTTAGCCTGAAAACTAATCTGACCTGGACCAGGCTAGTCTGGCAGCATGAGTTTCCATGGTAACATAGGCCAGACTTATTCATACATCTATAGAAACTAAACTGAAACTAACTGGTAATCTTGCTTTATGGAATGAAATGTTATTTAATAAATGTATTTCAAATGCAGAAATTCACACGAAAGGGCAGAAGAATAATCAGAATTGTTAGTCCGAGTAAAGTACTCGTTTAAATCCAATCATTAAGTGAAGGAATAGTACGTTTAAGTCTAATAATACTTGAATATTAAAGCTGCAGTAGGTAAGTTTCACAAAAAAATAACCCCTCTGGCTCCTTTAGTGCTGACATTTGCAAGAATCCACCTTATCTGACCAAAAACAACCACAACAACAACAACAACAACATTTAACTATCTTTAAGCCACCTGCCCATAGTGTTGATATTTGACAACCTGGGAATGACACTCAACAATCAATTATCTCTCTCAGACATCTTTATAAAAGTTACCTACTGCAGTTTTAAGGTGCACTGTGCTTGTAAATACTCTCAATACGGCTAAAAATTGAACGGCAGACAATAAGAAGATACTGTGACATGATCTAGTAGGTCACCTGTCCGGAAATAAGTCAAAGAAAAGAGAATCGTTGAGGTGTATTTGCACTTTCTACCTGGTCTGTGCAAATACTCTCAACCGCCTGCGCCCAGGTGGTGCACCTACCATGAAGCACTCGGTGGATAACAAACAGTCCGAAGAATAGCCCCGATATCGGGTTCTGAGTATTACTTTCACCCTCACAATGTGCATGATATGATGATGAACTGCTGCATGGATCAGGTGTCAGCGTGCTCTGCTCTTCTCTTCTTCAGGTCCACAGTCTGTACAGGCAGACCGATGCCAGCTTTCAGAAGGCCCAGGCCGAGTTCGCCACCGGAGTCATGTCCAATCAGGCCGTACGCCAGGCAGCTGCCAACGCCGCCACCAACGCCGCCACGGGGGCCTTCACCGCACCCCGATAGAGAGGGACGAGAGGGGTTGGGAGGGTGAGAAGTAGAGGAGGAGAGGGGCCCTTTCAGCTTGATAGAGGATCAGTCTGGTATTTATTTCCCCGCAGGTGATTAGAATTTGATGTGGGGGTTGCGGTGGGTGGGTGGGGGGGGGGGGGGGGACCAAGTCTAATTATCCCTGGGCAACTGAACTTCAGGGCACGTGCATGAGACAGAGGTGGGGGATGTCTAATTTCTAAAAGGTGTACAGGACAAGTTAGCTACATTGCCAAACCAGGAGTCAGCAAATCATTGATTGATTCAACATTTAGAGAGATGGTGTGAGATGTGAAAAAAAAATAAGATGTGAAGTTGTATTAAATTTAGCGCCGTTGTATCAGTGAATGCAGGGAAAATGCTTCTTTTTTTTTTTTTTTGTATAAGAAAAAAAAAAAAACTAAACAAGATGTGTGCCAAGTGGGACAGTTGTAGCCTGGATATTCACCATTTTTTAAAATGACTTGGATGTATACGTTGTGTTTGTGTGGAGCCATGTTTGAGACAAAGAGTCGGAGCTGAACACTGAAATGTTGCCATTTTTAACATTTGATCCATAACTAACTGGCTCAACTTTGGCCAACACTTTTTTTTTGTTTGTTTGTTCGTTTGTTATTGCCTAAGTGTTAACTAACAAGTTGTTATTATTTCAAATGAGAATGCCTATTTACCTTTTCTTGCCAAAACCTCTCATACTGTAAAGATTATGAACGTGTGTTGTTTTCGGTTACAAATATATCTGTCACTGTTCTGTTGGTGTTGCTTGTGGTTCCTATGATTATTACAGCTCACTGTCTTTGGTTTTAATAAAAATATATTGTCATGCTTACACAATCTACTGCACTTATTACGCCTCATCTTATTGATTTACTCATTATTAATTTGATTGTGTTTTACATACTGACAGTTTATATCTTAACTGGTAATGCGTTGCTAGGAAACCGCTTTAATCGAGTTCTGCACTGAACCGAGAGAGAAACTTAAAATCCAGGCAGCACACATTTGTGTCGTTTAAAAAAGAAAAGAGCCTCCTTTTTTAAAAACATTTTTTATTCTCTGGCGACACCTACACACACTTGGAGGAAACTGCAGCCGTGATGTCATCCTGACAACTTGTTGCTTTCTGAGTTTTGGGTTTCTTTTTGGCATCTTGATTTTTGGAGCACTGAACGAGGCAAGTCTGATCATGAAGCCACAGGTCAATTTATAGCTACATATATGTATATTTTTAACTTTTTGGCACATTTTGTTGATTATGTAACAAGATAAATACTTAACCTTTTATTTATAACAAATGACAGTGTGGGGAGTGTGTTGCCTGCTCATTGTCGATTAAAATGTGCCATCTGTAGACAGTTTTCTGACATGTCCCGGGCACCAAACCCTGCAGGACAACTCTGATCCTCTGACTTTTATGGGCTGCCACACCGACGTCAGTCTCTGCGCTTCACTGTGAAGATGGCGGAGGCTGCGGAGACACCACAACACCGGTTTTTCTGTCACTGCTGTAAATGTGAAACTAACCCAGAACTCCCGGTGAGTCACTTTGGAGAGTGTTTTTTTAATTTTTATTCCACACGCACAAACCTGGGAACCACACAGAGAGGAAAGGATAGATACTTTTAAATCTCCTTCTTTTACTACTACTACTGGTTTACTATTGATTTTTTACGAGTTTGCTCTGTCATTATAATCAATGGGATCACTAAAGCGCACACATGACAGCCAGTTGGTGGTTGTATAACTATGTGCGTACAGCATGCACCAATATCTTACTTTAGAGAGAGAGAGAGAGAGAGGGAGTCAAATCTGGCGATTCACGTTGCCATATTTAGAAACACCACTGTTGGCGACTGTGTCCAGTTGTCTACTGTCAACTGCGTGTGAGAGACGTAAGAGGGGCTGGCCGGGTGTCACCACATGCACCAGCAAGCACGTACAGGGCTTTCTTAACTGTTACATGCCACAGATCCGCAGGTGCCTTTAACCACTGCGGTTTGTTTTGCCCTCCGTTTTGTCTCAGTCCAACTGAAAGAGGTTTAACTTTTACCAATTTTTCTTTTGAGTTTAAATTGTCCTGGTGGTTAAGTTCAGAGTGCGCCGTGGCAGTCACTGCTGGAGCGCATTTGGTGCGCAGCTGACACGTTTTATGGCACGATTACGCACGGATATTGTTATGATGGCGCAAAAGCGCACGTGTGTTTCTATGTGAGAAGGAGAGACAGAGATAATGGATCAATCTGTACTTTATGGACAAAAATATATGTCTATATATCCATGTGCAGATACATTTAGTTAAAGATTATTTTTAGTTGACGTAGCCACAGACGTAATGAGGACATGTGACCAGGGCCATTGCAATAACAATGTGCCTATAAACTCTAATCCACCAGGATGCCTCATTTTTGTGTACTTTTTGGTCATGTGGCTGTTTTTTTTGTGCCTTGGGTTATGTCCCTTACTTCTAATTAATGTAATGCAGCAGTATACGATCATATTTTAGACAATAGTGCACTTCCAACTTTGTGGCAGCAGTTTGGAAACAGGCCATTTTCTGCTTCAGCATGACAGCGACCTGGTTCCTGGTGGCCTAGTGGTTAAGATACCATATAACAACAAGTTTGACCCTTTGTTTCAGGTCATCTCTAACTCCACACCTTTACTGTCTGTATACCTAATAAAATGCAAACAATCTTGAGGCCATATCTATAAAGAATAAAGAATTGTTTTCCCACATTTGGTGTGAAAGAAGAAGACTGGTCTGCACACAGCCTCATCCAACAACCTTTGGGATGAACTGGAACACTGACTGTGGACCAGGTGGCGACCTCACTAATGCTCTTGAGGCTGAGTGAGAGCAAATCTCTGCCACCAGGTCCCAAAATCTTATCAAAAGCCGCCCAAGAAGAATGGAGGCTGTTATAACAGCAGCTTATTACCCATAGTTTGGATGAGAAATCTGAGTGTCCACATACTTTTGTCTGGGTAGTGTTTATGTTTTCTTTTTCTTTTCAAGGATTTCGTCTGCCCCAGATGTGACTCTGACTTCATTGAGGAGGTGACAGAAGACTCCAGGTACAGCTCAGTGTTGGTGTTTACTGTTCTTTATATCGTGAGTTGAGAAACAGACTCTCTGGTTAATAAAAATGTTTCAAAGCATGTTCACTAAGTTTTAAAAAGATCACTGTAGAGTTAAGTAGTTACAGGCTGGTAAGAGTTGTGTTTTTCATGTTGCCCAACTGATGTTAAAACTGAATTTTACTTTGCTGTCTAGTCTCCTGCAGGACAGCAGATCTGCAACCAGTGAAGATTCAGACACACTGTTCTCAGAGGTATGAGAACAAATGGCATTTTAATAAGAACACTCCTCTTTTCTCTGAAGCTTTGTTTGACACGTTGCTTCTCTGGTCTCTCTCCAAGTTATGGCAGCTGCTGTTTATGGAGCGCTCTGCTCTGCTGTCGCATCCGCCCTCCTCAGAGTCCGACCCAGACGACAGCGAGCAGGTATCTGCAGGTCAGAGCCGTCCTTCTCCGGTGTCACCAGGCACTGCTGAGGTCGGAGAACCAGAGTCTCCTTCCCAGCCTGAGCAAGAGAGGTCGACCAGGCCTGAACAAAGGCCTGCAGTGGAAGGGTGTGTGGACATGGTACACAGAAACTGAACTCAAATAGAGTAAAAATCCTTCAGTATGCTAGTTATTCATATATTTCTTTCTATTTATATCTCCCGAGGTAATGTTCAAGGAAGTTAAAGATAGACATACAGAACCAACAACCACCAACATGCAGTTTAATTACATAAACAGCTGTTTTTGCACAGAAATAAATGTATAATTTTGTGAATGGAAACATTACATTGGATTGATTCGCTTTAAGAAGTTATTCAACTTAAAACTTAGATTACAGCCCACAAATTACAGTGTATTTATATATATGAGTGCATGTGGGATATCAATAAAAAAAGAGGAGGTTAGGGAATAATGGCATGACAACCATGTGGTTAAGAAGGACTTACTTAAGGAGTATCTATTTTATATTTACAAGTATAGTAACATTATTACTGGATAACAAAACACAAGTAAATGGGTGAAATGGAGATACCATAAATAATTTCAAAATTAGTTATGCTATAATTAATTTTTAAATTATGAAATACTTGGCAATTACATTGTAATAACTTCCACAGCAGATTAGTGAACATTATTCTTGTTGCTGGGGAACAAAACACTGGGCTTAGCTACGTTATAATATAGTTATTTTTTAAATGCTGATAAAATACCGGAGGTGAGTCATGTAGTTTTGAGATCCAATGTCAGGTTCATCTGGTCATCAGAATTGATGTTAGAGGAGAACCTTTACATACTCATATCATCAGATCATAAATGATGAAGGAGCCAAAAAGGTTTCACTCACAAACAAACTTTATTGAGGTTTATTTGACGGCTGTATAAAGAATAGTGTGGCGTGCTGTTCAATACTATAAATCACATCTAAGTCAGTTTTATCTTTTACTCACACTAAAGTAATAACTGTTTGACAGTACTCCACTATCAGGACAGATTACCAATAAGTGTTTAGGGGAGTTTTCCCACTCTTACTTCAGTAATTCTGTCACCTGATAATGGTTATACAGTTATTACATTACTATATATTCACCAAGCTTCCATATTTAATGATCTCTGTGAAACTTGAAATCATTATTCTTCTTCCGGTCTGAAAGTGTAGTCACATAAATCTCACTCCTTTGTCTCGGTATTACTATGTGTATAAAACCCCTTATCTGTTGTGTGCCTAGTCATTGACTGCAGAATACTTTACATACCCTAAATAAAATCATAAAGTCATGGTGTGACTGAAATCGATACAGTTAAGGATGAGTTTTGAAAGCACACTAAGGCAGACATGTTTGCTGTCTGTTTTTGCTCTTTCAAGGATCGTGCAGCAGTTCTTGGCCGGCCTGTTTGCCAACAACGGAAACCCCGGAGCTGCACCAGCCACACTGTAAAGCGCCTTTTAATTTTCGATTCACATCATTTGCTTTTGATTTTAGTCTAACGCCGTGTGACAACCGCCCTCTCTCTGTTTCTGTCTCTCAGATCCAGCATGCTACAGTTGTACGCAAACCCTGGAGATTACGCATGGGGTCAGGGAGGTCTGGACACTGTCATCACAGAGGTCAGTGATATCCGAGGCAGTGATTCTAAGCAAAAATAAAAAGCTAAACTTTCATCTCCTATTATAGTCTTGACACAAGGTTCGACTCTCTTGTTTTACAGCCCCTGTTTCCCTCTCTGCCCCTCATATATATATCCACACTCTTGTTGTTTCTCCTCCCACTCACCTGTAGTTGTTAGGACAGTTGGAGAGCACTGGTCCGCCCCCTGCAGAAAAGGACATGATCTCATCACTGCCAACGGTTTGCATCTCTCAAGAGCAAACAGGTACCAATCCCCAGCACAGCATACTGTGCACGGGGTCACATGATCTGTCCAGTACATCTTATATTAGGAGGTTGATTTGTAAAGTTTGACTTTTGATGATGAGATCTGTATTAGTGCTTCTACTTTACACTCAAGCTTACACACACTATATGATTTACAAGTTCCTCTTTCGCTCTCAATCTTTCCATTCCTCCTTATAACTTCCTATTCTCTCTCCTCCTACTAGTTGAGTTGACCTCTTGTGTTTCCTTTCCTACTTCCGTCTGGGCTTCCCTCCTTCCTTCTCCTATCATTCCTTCCCCCTGATATCTTTCCTTCACTCTCTTCCTCCTCTTATCTTTTCTTTCCTCTTCTTACATCTCATTTCTCGCTTTTCCTCCTTTTATCTTTTCTTTTCTCTTCCTATTTTTCCTTCCCTCCTCCTATCTCTCCTTACCTTACCTTCTCTTCTCTTCCCTTCTATTGTCAGTCCTTCCTTCCTCACATCTTCCCTTTCCTTCTCCAATATTTCCTTTGCTCACTCAGCCAGGTATCAATAAGTCATTCATTTTATGTTTTTTTGGCTTCCTCTAAACAGTAGTGGCTCACACAGCAACCCCTAACATGGTTGTATTTATGCATTATAATAACTTATTGACCATTTATAAAAACCTGAGGTAAAATGTGACTTATTGTAAAGTTGTGTGAAAGCTGCTAAATCTGTATTCACACATCATTAAACTGGGCCAGCTACATGAAATGACAGAGGACTACATTACAAATGCATCACTGTGCTACACCGTAATGGCCTATAGACCTGTCTTGCACATTCGAGGCGTAATGAATCATTAAACATTTTACGACTGTGTTTTCTGTATATACTTTTCTGTCTCTGTGTGTGTCTCTTCCCCATGCACACACTCATACCTTCTGTTTCTGTTTTTTCTCTCCCAGACTGCAGGCTGGAGTGTCCAGTTTGTAGGGAGGAGTATTCATTAGGGGAATCTGTCAGGAAGCTACCCTGCCTCCATTACTTCCACAGTGAATGTATAGTGCCTTGGCTGGAGCTGGTAAGGACGAGGAGTGGATGTGGTCAGTTAGGTTTGTCATGGAGGTTTTAAAGGTGTATCACACATCCTGAATAAACGTCTGTGACGACAACATAGAGACCCTTTTTACCAGAAATCTGGACTCGTGTTTTCTGCTGTTATACCGCTGACATTTTTCCTTAATAAGTATGTCTCTCTCTCTCCCCCTCTCACAGCATGATACCTGCCCAGTGTGCCGAAAAAGCCTTGACGGTGTCGACAACAGCCTCCCGCCCACGTCAGAACCTCCAGAAGCCCGCTCCATCAGGACAGAGCAACAGGAGAGGCAGGCGATCTGAGGAACGGGCCAAGCAACTCTACCTCCTTTACTGTTTTTAAGAGACACGCTTCTCACCTCAGACCTTTTCCCCACCACCCGCCCACTATACCTGCACCAACTGCTTTTAAATAAAATACAGTACACGCATCACTGTTAGAATTTGACATCACGCATCGTTGCTAAGGACCTTTATGTTTTTCACTCCAACATCTTCACCATTTCTAAGCTACGCGCACACACAAAAGGACCCTGAAGTTTGCAATCAAGATGTGGAGGTGATGTGTCCTTCTCGCGACGGTGCCCTCTAAGGTGGATTTCTCAATGACTGACTTTGATGTCATGAACTAATTACCACTGAGCTTTATGGGTTTGCAGAGTTATGAAGTAACAACTTTATCATTGAGGTTCTTGGTAAAACAATTTCCTGATGCCGTATATATTTTGAGGACCTTTTTCCACCCAGTAAGATTCAACGTTGATCTCCTCATCTATTTAAAGCTGTTATTAAAGCCTAACCCTGTGATCCTCACCCTCTGCACCTTCTTTCATCTCCCTAATCATGAGCGATTCCAGGTATTCACAGCCATATTGCAGACTTTTTATCTGTCTACCAGCCAGTCAGTTCAGTAATCAGTTGGGTTAACAGGGTAGTTTTTATTCTGAGTGTGTATTTGAGGCTTTTCTGTGTCTTTTGCATTTTGTGGTCAGCGTTCTTCTAACCGCTTAATAGATGACCAGATCTTTCACCTCAATAAAGTACAATAAAGCCTAATCCAATACATTAGAGTGTAATAAAATAGACACAGTAGAGTGTAATGGTTGGCTATAGAGCACAATAGAGTGGCAAAGAATAAAGACAGTTAATCAAATAGTGATAAAATTCATTGTCACCAATTTCGATACTTGATTAACAGCAAAAGTCATTTATTAAGCTAAATAATAAATATAAAGCTAAAAATGTATCTAGGATGTGAGGATTTGCTGCTTTTCTCTGAATTTTACAATCATAAAATATGTTTTTGTACAGTTGGTCAGACAAAACAAGCAAACTGAAGACATGACATCATCTTGCACTATACTGAGTAGCTAGTTTTCCATGATTTTCTGACCTTTACTGACAAATAAATTATCTAAAATAATCAATAAGCAATTGGTGACGGCACAACCTGCAGTATATTATAGTCTACAGCTAACAAAAGACAAATGCAACAACAAGGAAAAGAATACAATAGTTTGTTTTTATAGATTATTATTTTTTCAATTAACCAATTAAGAATTTAGTTCATAAATTGGCAAAATGATAGTGAAATTAAAGAAAAAAAATAATGGAAAAAGTAATTTTAAAACATAGAAATCCTCACATTTGAGAAGCCATGCACTGCTGAATAAATTACATATCAGTCGATTAATCTAACACCAGTGATACTGCCTTGATTAGTCGACTAATCACCTCAGCTCTCACAGAACAGAGGAAACCTTAATAGAGCAGGAATTACTTATTTATAGGTTGAAGGTAAGGCTCCTGTTTATGCAGCCTCATATACTGTGAGGTTATGTTGACAGTCTCTGTGGCAGCAGTGTGACAGTTGACTGTTGCACACCAGTACAAACACACCCTCAAAACAAAGCGCCGAAAATAGTCAAATAATGAATAACACAGACATTTATTTTTATTTTATTTTTTGTCAATGACCAGGGACCGCAGGAGCCGCGTACGACCGACATTTGCTCTCCTCTCCTCTCCTCCCCTCTACCTTCCGCCCTCCTCGGCCCGTCCTCCCCTCCCCTCTCCCTCCTCTCCCTCCTCCCCTCCTCTGTGGGACCGAGAATGCCCGTGTTGTACTGACACAGTAGCGATACGGGCTGAGCAGACATGGAGGCCCGATTAACGAGAGAGGCCCGTGCTGACACATCCAGGCCTAGCTAACGGCGTGTCGGAGTGGATTTCGGAGCGTCTCGGGAGATATTTACGGATACCAGCTGCTGTAAGGAAAAAGGATTTTAACAGCGAGGGAGGAGAAATAAGAGGGAAGATCCATTTCGGGTCTCTGTTGATTCAACGCAGCCGCCATTTTGTTGACAGTTAGTGTTTTTTTTTTTTTTTTTTTTTAATAACCTACACGGCGCTGCATCTGTTATTAAACACCACTGGAATACAGGTCGTCACCGATTTTTTTTGCGTGTGTGTTAAAGTCGGTTTATATAAATTGTGGTTTTTGTCTCTGAACCAACGTTGAACGGGGGGAAGATTTCTTTTTTTTTTTTTTCCTCCCGTTGGTTTTAGCTGACTTGCTAAGTGCATCGTTAGCCGTCGTAGCCCGAGATGTAGTAACACGAGTGCCTACGAGAATGTGACGGGAGATGTAAGATTATGTGCATCACTTGTCCAGTGGGGTCGTGTCCAACAATTCACTCGGTTTACACAGGTAGTTTGAAAGCGGTAAGGTTAGGTGTTTTTGCCACTCTCATACTGTACAAGTTAAAGCTAGTGCAGGGCGAAATTAGCATAAATCGTCCTCAAAACAGGCTGCTGATAGATGGCTAGTTAGCTGCTGCCACTGTGCCATTGATTACAAAATGTAGCACAGGGCTGCCTTATTATTATTATTATTATTATTATTATTATTATTGTTATTTGTTGCATGGGTAGCTACTAGCTTGTTACATAAATATATAAACACAATGCATGCGTGATATTAAGCGCCATAAAAGTGGCCACGCCGTCTCCATTACTTTACCGCCTTGCCCTGTTATCCTAAATGTTATGGAAATACATTTTTTTTTTTAGCTAAAGAGAGAGAGAGAGATGTGTGTGAGAGAGAGAGAGAGAGGGGTTGATGTTTCACATGCTGACACTCCGCTTACAGCATTGCAACTTTGGTGTTTTTTTGGAGGTGGCCAAGGTTCAACAATCAGATTTCGTGGTCTAGAGCTGTTTGCATTGCTTCAGATTTTCTCTGTGGCTGCGTTCAAGATTATTGTACCTTGTTTTAAACCCTGTTTCTGCACGTCCAACAAAAAAACCCCCCACAAAAAACCTGCATAAACATTTGTTTGTGTGGCAAAGTATTGTAGCCTTGGTCGCTTCAGCTCATGGGGTACATGCTTTAAAACAACATTTATACAAGCCATATCTGACTCTTTTTTATTTATTTTTTTATTATTTATGTTTTTTTTTTTTTTTTTGGCAATTCAGCACTCGGACCATACAATATGTGGCCACCACGTTGATACGTACACGAAGGGAGAGGACACAGAGCCAAATAATGTGAACACCGTTTCTGGACAATTACAGAGGTGAGTGACTTTCAGGTCAATATCATCACATTTAAAGTAGTTGTTTTTGACACTACAGTGCAGCCTGAAGCCAGATTTGCTCACTGTTCCTTGCATCTGATTTAAATAGTCTTAATGTTTACCCACGAGTAGACGTGCACAGTTATGTATTTTCGGCTGCATGCATTGCAGTGTCACCCTAACTGGCTTATAGAAACTTCAACAGCATGCCTCTGAGGCCGGATTTCCTTTCCACTCTTTAACAGTAATTATGAGTGTGACTAAAATGGGGATACATTTGCTGACTGAATACTTAAAGTGAGATGTTTTTAAGGTGATCTGTTCGCAGACTCATGAGTTATTCCCTTGAGGGGCAGTGTTGACTGTACAGGAAACCGAAAGCGGATAACGTTATTGGGTGTCTTCAGCCCCTCCGCTGGTCAACCACGTTTTTTTTTTTTTTTTTTGCATAACACGAGGTAGGGGGTGAAAGTGTGATTAATTAAATTATATGCACTGTATTTTTAAGTCAGTTAATAACACGGAATTAACTTCCCTAGGCTGCGACAGACTGAGGGTGTTTGCATGCTGCTGGTCTGACCGACACCTGCCATCCCGGTCCGATTGATTGCAGCCTTTATTGCACATCGAGGTTTAAACATTATAGTCGACTCTTTCGGTTAAAGGCACGTTATATGAATATAAACTTATGGTAGTAGTAAAGGAATTTGGCTGCTTTACCCTCCCTCCCTCCCTCCCTGAGCTCTGTACTAACACCCATAGAGTAAAAGCCCTGGAAATGACAAGGCGCTCTGGGGGCAGACGCCAGCCCTCATGTGAATGATGTGGGGGGTGGGCGGGTTGGATACTATTGCTATGGCCAAAGGGAAATCAGCAGTTATGAACAACGTGTGCAAAAGTGAGGAGGGAGTGAAAGGAGGGAGGGAGTAAGGGGAAAGAAATGGGAGGGGGCGCGGGAAGTTGTTTACTACGTTCCTGACTGCTCTGCCATTTCTTAGATTGTTGGCCTGATATTGATTATTGATTCTCTGTTTTTCATTTTGATATCTGACATTTTGTGCTTGTTTTATATGCCTTGTCTTTTTCTACTTTTAACTCCTGGTTTATTGCTCCGAAAGTAAAAGCAAGCGACAGGCAGGCGTTTACTGATATGTGGTCTTCAAAAACCAGTAGTGCTGTTATTCTGTTGTTTTGCAGTATGACTGCAAAGAACGAAACGACTGCAGTGAAATCTTAACTGCTCGGTAAATACAAAAGTACCACGATGCTAAACATGAAAAGAGATACGCCTCAGTGTTGGGGCTTACCAATCACACACTAGAAAGCGAGTCGACCTAGTATCATTTAAAAGGAGAACAAGTACCAGTAAATGACCTGGCTTTGAGGTGGGAGGAATGTTTTGACTCTCCGAGAGGGTTTTCTCTAGACTCTTGTCGGTAGCCTCTCACAGAGTTAGGTACTACACTGGCTTATTTTTGGCATAGCTGCTGTCAGGCAGCGGAAGCAGTTAGTATCTCTGCAAGCGTTTAGTATAAAAGAATGAGAGGAGAACATTTGTCACTCGGTGAGAGAAGGACACAGGGAACAGAGTTGGGGGGGATGGTGGGTGAAATGTGTTTTTGATTAAAGTAGGAACACAGTGACTTTAGTTTGTGTGCTGTTACTACTGCTTTTCCAAGTTAGGCGAATTCGAGTCAGGAAAAGGACAGAAAAGCTTAAAGAAAATGGTGAAAGAACAGAGAGATTGATGGAGTGTTAAAGAAAAGAGGGAGGTGTGATTTGAGTGTGGTATGTGTAGCGAGGGGGAGTCTGCAGTTTTGAGGCGAAATGGAGTGAGTAATTGAAGTAAACACAGAAAAGAGGGCGTGGGGGAACTACAGGCCAGACTCCAAAAAATCGGGCTGCGTTTACTGTGTGGTTCAACAACAAAAATCTCTACTACTGTTTTCCACAGTCATAATCCAAAACAAACATGGTCTAGGACTCGGTGTAAGGCGGATTCCTTTTTATTTTCTCTCCCTCTCTTCCTGTGACACTTTACTGATGTGACGACTTGTATGACTTTCCTGAGGCTCCATTAAGTAGCTCCTTTAGTGCTCTCCACTAATGTAGGGCGCAGAGAAACCGCCGGCACGTTGACGCTCTATCACTCACTCTCAGTTGCTGCTGGCGTAGCCTGCGAAAGGCGGCTAGATCCTCTGTCTAGTCCCAGTGGGCCCAATGTGCTGAGGT